TTAATGAGAACAAGGGCTATATGCAAGAGAATAATGAGAGGAAGGACTGGAAAAGTAGGCTAGGGCTCTGCTACGAAAGACTTTACATGTTTGGCTAAGGGGTGACCACATTTTGAAAACTACAAATGCTTCATAAACATTAGAATTATTATTGTTAACATTTGTTGGTTGATTGAGCCAATCAATGAATGAGATTCTAATAAATGAATGAATATGAGATTCTTCCCAAGAAGATAATTCATACCTTTTGCAGAAGAAGCAATATTTCATGCTCTATTGTAGTGGTTCTCAATGAAAGAGAGCTTATGGGAAGAGATGGCCGGGGGAGGTTGCACAGATGTTAGAAATTTTTTGCAAAACTCACACATTCATACTGGTTTGAGAACTATGGCTCTAATGATTATTGGTTAAAGAGATGAAAGAGAGATCTAAACAGTAGGACAGTACACCATCGGGGCCTGTATTTCTCCAGCTTCTGTTCTCACAAAAGTCACCAATGACCTCCTGATTGACAGGCCTATTGTCCATTGTATGTGACTTGAGCATTCTGCATTGTTTGACACTGTTAACTGCTTGAAACTTTCTCATCCTTTGGCTTCTTTTTTTTTTCTCCTCCTTCTCTACGTTCTCCTTAATAATCTTTTTGCAAGTTATTGCTCCTCCAACTGGCAGTACCTATGGATGTTTCCACCATGTTCTATCCTTGATCATCTTCTCACTCTACACACCGTCCCTGGGAAGTTTCATCTAGCCCTCCTAATTTCAACTGCGGTTGGGTGACAACTCTCAAAACTTTGTTTGTGACCCCAACTTTTCTCCTAAGTGTCAGAATATTTCCAGGATATATTTAAGATAGCCTTTAAGCATCTCAAGCTTAATGTATTTGATCCTAAACTCATTCTTTTTCCGTTCCTTCCCTATCTCCACCCTCAACATGGATCTATCTGCCCCAACTTTCTCCAGTCCTCTCTTCTAGATCTTTGTGAATAATGTCACTAATCATTCAGTTTCATGAACTAGACACCTGAAAATCTTCTCCAACTTCTATTTGTCCCTCAACAACTCTTTCTTCCTCTTCCAGATGGTCTCCAAACCCTATCTATTCTAACTTTAAAAAATAAGTTTTTTGTATCCAAACTTACCTCCCATTCCCACACCTACTGTCTTAGTCATTTCCTTGCTGTCTTTCTTTTCTTTGATTATGCTGCCACCAGCCTCTCCCCACTCTAGTCTATACAACGCCTCCAAAGTGTCTGTCAAAATTCAATTTTAACTGTGTCATAATTCTGCTTTACAACTTCTTATGATTCATTATGCCCATAGGACAAAATTCAACCTCCAAAGCTAGGCATTTCCACAACCTGGGATCCTATCACCATCCGACCTGACTCTATAGCTTTTCTTCTGCCTCATCTCCTTCAACTGCTTTCCACTCGGTGTCCACTCAGGCACACTAAACTTCTCACATTCCCCCACATGGGCCACGCTCTTTCACATAGGATTCCCACAGCCTGGAATGTCCTCCAAGACAATTCCACAAATGCTGATTAGGGCATCTGTGATGTACTAGACACTGTTCTGGGGCCCCAAAAATAAAAATAAGAAGATAAAGATCCTTCTGTCAATGAATTCAGACCCTAGTAGTAAGGAAGACAGGCATATCAACAAATAATTTTTTTAAGAAGCTGTTTTGTGGCTGAGCGTGGTGGCTCATGTCTGTAATTCCAGCACTTTGGGAGGCTGACTCAGGCAGATCACTTGACGTCAGGAGTTCGAGACCAGCCTGGTCAACATGGTGAAACTCCATCTCTACTAAAAATACAAAAAATAGCCAGGTGTGGTGGCGGGCACCTATAATCCCAGCTACTTGGGAGGCTGAGGCAGGAGAATAGATTGAACCCGGGAGACAGAGGTTGCAGTGAGCCGAGGTTACACCACTGTACTACATCCTGGGCAATAAAGCAAGACTCCATCACACAAAAAAAGAAAAAAAGGCTGTTCACTAAATTATTTTTACGTGGAATGTCTCAAACAGATTTAAGGCTGCAAACTTGTTAAATTTTATAATCGTTTTCTTTTCAAAGTGAAGCTCAGAAATACTTAAAAATAGCTGTAACATTCACATTAGGAAAGATGATGTTTATTCCAGTTTGCATTTTTATGGTGAAATAAAATCCTTTTCCAATGGAAAAAAATAATAATAATGATGCACTGTGATAGGCACAAAATAGAAATATATGCAAAAAGGCAGCATAGAGGAGAGAGTGCCTAACGGTCTGGAGGGAGTGGGACAAGAAAGCCTGTCAGAATCTAGATGGACAAGGTGGGGAAAGGCCACACAGGCATGGCCAAGGGCCAGGGGCACTGAGGCATCAGAGAGTGTAGCGTTTCCAGGATGCAGTAAGAGCTCCCACACAATGCAGAAACGTAAAATGCAGTGGGGGTGAACGGTACACCCAAAAATGGCTAAGACAGTCAACTGTATGGTGTGTGTTTCTTACCACAATTTATTTATGAAAAATTTATTTTAAAAAGATGCACTGGGGAAAGTGTCTAAAGATTGAGCTGGAATCAGCACTTGCCTTCCTTGCCCTCCTTTTCTTTTCTTTCTTTTTTTTTTCTATTTTGTTTTGTTTTGTTTTGTTTTGTTTTTTGAGACAGAGTCTCACTCTGTTACCCAGGCTGGAGGGCAGTGGTGCAATCTCACTCACTGCAACCTGGGCCTCCCAGGTTCAAGCGATTCTCCTGCCTCAGCCTCCTGAGTAGCTGGGACTACAGGCATGCACCATCACGTCTGGCTAATTTTTGTATTTTAGTAGAAATGAGGTTTCACCATGCTGGTCAGGCCAGTCTCGGTCTCCTGACCTCAAGTGATCCGCCCGCCTCAGCCTCCCGACATGCAGGGATTACAGGTGTGAGCCACCACACCCAGCCCCTTGCCCTCCTTTTCAACTTGCAAACTCCTATTCATCTTTTATGATCTGGCTCAGATCGCTAAATGACCCCTCCTTTGTGGATCCCACCTGATTCCCTCAGCCTGTGTTGCCTTCACCTTTCCTCTGTGTTCCCACGGTACTTTATGTATACCTCTGTTACAGCACATCACATGGATGCAAATCTTTTATTTACTTCTCTGTTTCCCCCACAAGACTGTAAGTTCCCTGAAGACTGGCACCATTTCTCAGATAGACATAGATCCTATATATCTATAAGAATTATCTGACGGGCACAGTGGCTTGCACCTGTAATCCCAGCACTTTGGGAGGCCAAGGTAAGAGGATCACTTGAGCCTGGCAGAGCCATCAATCGAGGTTTCTCCCAGTGTTTCTCACTTGATTCTCAGAGAAAGCAGTGAGAAGATGAAAAAGATTTTGAAATGGAGAAAAGATTTTCCAGAGGACCCTACCAGCGAATTAGAATCAGACTCAGTGGGTAGGTTGATTGAGAAGCCTAGGGAATTTCTGAGACAGCCACTGTAAGAAATATTATTTTTTTTTAAATCCAGGTAAAATTGAATAAATAGAGTTGATGGGCCAGGCACAGTGGCTCATGCCCGTAATCAATGCCAGCACTTTGGGAGGTCGAGGTGGGCAGATCGCTTGAGTCCAGGAGTTTGAGACCAACCTGGACATGGTGAAACCCCATCCCTACAAAATATACAAAAATTAACTGGGCATAGTGGCGTGTACCTGTAGTCCCAGCTCTCTGGGAGGCTGAAGCAGGAGGATTGCTTGAACCCAGGAAGTTGAGGCTACAGTGAGTGGAGATAGCACCACTGCATTGCAGCCTGGAACAAGAAAAGACCCTGTCTCAAAAAAGCAAAAATAGAGTTGGTGAGCTTTGGTTTGGAGATAAAACTGAAGTTAGGGCTCATGAATTTGTGATAAGCCCAAAAAGCACATTTCACACATACATATATGTGAAAAAAGTGTGTCTATATGTCTGTATACAAACACATATATATACACTTTGTTCAACTATTTTTGCCATCCCAAGAACAAAGAAATGACTGCAGGTTGTCAAACTGAGCAGTAAGCAATTCTGGGAGTAGGGAGAGGGCTGAGGAGAAGGACTTTTGATTAGTATTAAGGACTTGTGGCCGGGCACAGTGTCTCACACCTGTAGCCCAGTACTTGGGAGGCCAAGGTAAGAGGATTGTTTGAGGCCAGGAGTTTGAGACCAGCCTGGGCAACATAGCAAGACCTTGCCTCTATAAAAAAAAAAAATTTTTTTTAATTAGCCAGGCATAATGGTGCCAGCTTGTAGTCCCACCTACTCGGGAGACTAAGGCAGGAGGATCGCTTGAGTTCAGGAGGTTGAGGCTGCAGTGAGCTGTCGGGGTACCACTGCACTCTGGACTTGGTGATAGAGTGAGACCCTCTCTCAAAAAAAAAAGAAAGAAAAGCTCCTCAAAAGAGCTACTGTTTGCATGCTCGAATTCCTCTACTCCCATTCTCCCCTGAATCCTCTTCCACTGGGTTCCATCTCACTGTGTATTACACTGAAACTCTTCCTGTGACGAACAGCAGCAGCCTCATGCCGTTCAGTGCAATACTCCATCACATGCCCCATCTTCTTTGACCTTTCAACGTCTGCCACAGCCGATGCAGCCCTCCTTCTTGAAACCTTCTTTGTTTGGCTTCCAGAACACTATACTCTGGCGATGTCTTTTCCTTTCTCACTGAATCCTTCCACTCTGTCTCTTTGCTGGTTCGTCCTCATCACCCCAACCAAAGGGCATTCATATTTCATGCCTTCCATATTAGGATAAATTATGTGTTTATTTTTGCAGCAGACATGCTTTTCTGATTATATCTCGCTTATCTGTCATTAATTAGCTTTCATTCTCTCAGCATACACTCACTGGCTAAAGGAGGAGTCTCAGAAATATGCTGTGTGGTAAAGGGCAGCCACTTGGGGATGGTCAAGCCTAATGTTCACACAGGTGATCTACAGTCACTCATGGTCCTTGCGTGTCCTCTCTGTCCTCTCTATTGTAGCATGTTCCTGCCATCCTGTAGGATCAGCTGTCCTTCCTGCCAACTCAGTGACCTTCTGCGACCCCAGCAATGGTGACTGCCCTTGCAAGCCTGGGGTGGCAGGGCGACATTGTGACAGGTGCATGGTGGGATACTGGGGCTTCGGAGACTATGGCTGTCGACCATGTGACTGTGCGGGGAGCTGCGACCCTATCACTGGAGACTGCAGCAGCAGGTGAATGTGCATGGCTCTTGCTCTCAGCTGCATGTGTTTCAGGCTCTTTTGAAAACCTATAGTGATTTGGAAAATCTTGCATTCTGTTAATGAAGCAAAAATATATTTGCACATCCCTTTTACAGAATTTTTGTCAGACCAGGCACAGTGGCTCACACCTATAATCCCAACACTTTGGGAGGTTGAGGCAGGTAGATCACTTGAAGTCAGGAGTTCGAGATCAGCCTGCCCAACATGATGAAACCCCATCTCTACTAAAAAAAAAAAAAAAAAAAATTAGCTAGGCATGGTGGTAGGTGCCAGTAATCCCAGCTATTCAGGAGGCTGGGGCAGGAGAATCACTTGAACCCGGGAGGCGGAGTTTGCAATGAGCCAAGATTGCACCATTGCACTACAGCCTGGGCAACAAGAGTAAAACTCTGTTTAAAACAAAACAAAACGAAACCAAGAATTTTTGTCAAATTACAAACTCAAGTAATTTGTCCTTGCAAGATTCTAGAGATCATCTAGTTCATTTTGCGGAATAAATTATTTGTCTTCACAATAGTTCCTTAAAACACTATTTCTGGAAAAAGGAAAAATGGGAAGGTAGAAGATAAGGTTTAAATCTCTATAGATTCATTTCTATACAAGTTCTAAAAAATTCCTCAATATGTTCTTTATCATTTTCTGTTTTGTTAGCAACACAGACATAGACTGGTATCACGAAGTTCCTGACTTCCGTCCCGTGCACAATGAGAGCGAACCAGCCTGGGAGTGGGAGGACGCACAGGGGTTCTCTGCGCTTCTACATTCAGGTGAGATGAATGTAACCAGGCGTCGTATTTTCAGGTCTGGTCTTGTGTAACAGTGATATGTGACAAACCAGGGTCCAGCTTGTGGATCCTATGAGGGGAACACTTTAGTTCTGGGGTTTAATGGTGTAATAAAATAGTGACCCCCATAAGCATGAAACTGTGAAATATAGCTAAGGGGTATTTTAACTCATTTCTGTTTGTTTTCTGATGATTAGAGTGATATATGTAGTTGGTATAGAAAATTTGGAAAATGCAAAACATCATAGTAAAAAAAAAAAAAAAAAGGTCACCAAAAATTTCATTATTCCACTGTTAATACTTTGGTATGTTTTTCTCACTCTAAAACACAGTTAAGAGTCTACTGAGTGGGGTGAGTATAATCCCAGCATTTTGGGAGGCCAAGGCAGAAGGATTGCTTAAGCCTGAGAGTTCAAGACCATCCTGGGGAACATAGCAAGAGTTATCTCTACAAAAATGAAAAGCCCAGTGTGGTGGCACACACCTGTAGTCCCAGCTACTTGAGAGGCTAAGGTGGGAGGATCACTTGAGCCATCAAGGCTGCAGTGAGCTGTGATCATGCCACTGCACTGCAGCCTGGGTGACAGAGCAAGACCTTGTCTCAAAAAAGAAAAAAAAAAAAGTGCCTACTGAATACATTAGGTTTGGAAATGTACAGATCCATTGAAAGGAAAAATATTCTTAGAAACTTAACTTAATAGGTACAAAGCAAAAGCCAGATGTGAACTCCTTATATTTATAGCTTTTTTACAATTAGAAAGCAAAAGTAATTTTACAAACTAAATATAAGCCAAATAATGAAGCCAAAAAATTCAAATTAATGACATTAACTGAATATGAAAATGATGTGTACCAAAGCCAAAACACTGCTCACTACATAAATAAAGCTCTTTGAGTTTACTCAGTATGGGCTCCTATTTCTTCTGACTCAATTTCCCTGTGATGTTGTTCTGTTCCTTCTTTTAAAGGGCATGCCATGATGGTGGTATGAATTCTCAGTTTCTGTGTTCATCTTGCCCCTATTCTTTCCTTGTAGAAAAGCAAATTATTGTATTTAGTGCTGACTTGTTCCTTAACACGAACTCAAATGTGGGCATGAAATCTTGTGTCAACACTTGGATATAAAGTGCTCACCAAATGCTCCAAATTAAACTCACAGCAAGTTAAATATATTTTATTATGAAACATTACAAATAGGAAAAATGTTATGTGATGAGCACCCACACACACACCTTCAAAGGGTTAGCAAATCACATACTTTGCCATAATTGTTTCATATTCTCATTTAAGTTATAAAATGTTACAGATGCTTTTGAAGTCCCTGATGTACCCAGACACAAGCCCAGTTGCCTCCCTTTGTCCACAGAATAACCACAATGGTGAACTTAGTGTTGATCATCCACTTTCACGTTTTTACTATTTTATTACTTATATATATATTGAGTATTTCAGAATTCCATGCACATCATGATATCTTCTCTACTCTTTTAAAATGTTTTTGGTAGCCAGGCTTGGTGGTGTGCGCCTGTAGTACCAGCTACTCAGGAAGCTAAAGCAGGAGGATCACTTGAGCCCAGAAGTCTGAGGCTGTAATGCACCGTAATAGCACCTGTAAATAGCCGCAGAACTCCAGGGCAGCATAGCAAGAACCCATCTCTGAAATGTAAATAAGCAAAACATTTCTTACCTGTTTATGTAGTGTTTTGAGGTTTATCCATCTAAAAAAAAATTCATATAAAAGCGGTTATATGAATATACCATTTTTATTCTCTCGTTTGTTTGCCATTTAGGATATCTCCAATTTCTAATTTTCCACCATTATAAATAACACTGCCCTGAATGTTCTCTTGTGACTTTGTGCGCTTAAGAAGGTGTGTCACCAGGCCAGGGGCTGGCAAACCACAGCCCTCAGGCCAAGTCAGCCGCCTGTTTTTCTGTAGCTTGCAGGCTACTGCCCTAAGAATGGTTTTCACAGTTTTAAATGTTCACAGTTTAAATGGTTATAGAAGTACCTGTCTTTATTCTTGGCCATTCAGGTTTCCTTTTCCGTGAATTTCCTATCTGTAATTTTCTTACTAATTTGTAGTAGTTCTTTATAAATTTATTCATTCCTCCAACAGATACTTCTTAAGTACCTCTGTCATGTGGCAGCACTGTAAATAAAGTAAGTGAACAAAACAGATTAAATCCCTGCCTCTGTGTCTCCTACCTTCTAGTGAAGGAAAACAGCTAATAAACAAATAAAATATTTAGTATAATAAATGTTTAGTATAATAGAAAAATAATGCAGGGACAGGGGATAAGATATATTTTAGAAGAACATACTTTTAAATCAGGGTAAGCCCTATGAAAGTGACATTTGAGGGGGAAAAAAACTCTGAAGGAGGTAAGAAGGATAGCTATACAGGTGGCAGAGGAAAGGGAGTTTAGGCAGAAGATATAGCAAGTCTTTAAAGCCCTGAGGAGGAGTTCAGGAAACAGCAAGGCCAGTGTGGCTGGAGCAGAGTAAGCTGGGAAGACACATGGAAGAGGAAATGTAACGAGACTGCAGAGGCCACTGTGAGGAACTTGGCTTTCACCTGGAGTAAGATGGAAGCCACTGGAGCATTTCAAGCAGAGGTGTGGCATTTAGAGTAACACCAGTCAGCATGGTTGTGTGTTTTCCCTAGTCACATTCAGCGTTGTGGATGTAGGCATACACAAACAGATGACTTTAAGCTGGGTTGAGGTTTTTCCAAGTGAGAATGAAGCAAGAGGGCAATAACTGCTTGTGGAATTTAAACTGGGTAAATAGGGATATGAGGGTGAAATGAGGTAGGATCAAGGATTATAGGGTTTCAAAGGATTGTTGAAGTTGGAAGCAAGCTAGAATAGGATGTAGAGGTCAAAGAATGTGATGCTTGAAATTGAGATTGGAAGAGTAGCAGTTATTGATAATGGCGATGTCTAAGATGTGGTCATGGGAATGAGTGGCTGAGGTCATTTTTTGTAATGCTACCTTATCGTATATCAAGTTTCTATATATGAATGGATCTGTATCTTGTCTTTCTATCATGTTTCATGAGCCAATACCGCAATATATTATTATAGTTTTATAATGAGTCCTGATATCTGATATGGCAAGTCCCTTCATTACATTGTTCTTTCTTAAAATTATCTTACCTATCAGTTCTTTGCCTTTTGTGTGAATTTTAGATTAAGTTTATTAAATCCCACAAAAGCCTCTGTTGGAATTTTTATTGCAATTGCATTGACTTTATAGATCATTTTGAAAAAAGTGATAGCTTTGTAATATTGAGTAGTCCCAGACATGAAGATACCTTTCTGTATATTAAGGTCCTCTTTAAGGCCTTTCAATGGCATTTGTCACTTTTCTCCAAAATGGTTTGACCTTTGATTAGATTTACTCCTAGATACCTTTAGATTTTATTGCTATTGGGAAAGTGTTCTTTACCTGAATTTTTAAAATATTATAAAGGAGTACTCTGTGTGTGTGTGTGTGTGTGTGTGTGTGTGTGTGTATGTTTTGAGCTTGTATCCAGTGACTTTGCTGAACTTGTTTACTGATTCCAGTGTGTATGGATTATCTTGGATTTTCTAATGTAGGCCATCGTGGTATTGACAAATAAGGACACTTTTGTCTTACTTGTGTAGTTCTCATGCCCCATTTTTTTTGACTCCAGTACAATGTTTTCCCAAATTTGATGGAAATAGTTTGAAATTTCACCACTATAAAACTTGATATTGATTTTTGATAGGTAGCCTTTATCAAGTAAATGTCATTCTCTTCTATTTCTAATTTTATTATTAATGAGTTTTGTGTTTAGTTGAATGCCTTATCTGCATCTTTTGAGAAAATCAGACAGTCTTTCTCCTGTAATCTATCAATGTGGTATTTGAAAATAATTTTTTTCTGCTATCAAACTATTCTTATTTTTTTAACTTCTGGGATACATGTGCAGAGTGTGCAGGTTTGTTATATAGGTATACATGTGTCATAGTGGTTTGCTGCACCCATCAACCCCTCATCTAGGTTTTAAGCCCTGCACGCATTAGGTATTTGTCCTAATGCTCTCTCTCCCCTCATCCCCCACACCCCTGATAGGCCCCAGTGTGTGATGTTCCCCTACCTGTGTCCGTGTGTTCTCATTGTTCAACTCCCACTTATGAGTGAGAACATGTAGTATTTGGTTTTCTGTTCCTGTGTTAGTTTACTGAGAATGATGGCTTCCAGCTTCATCCATGTCCCTGCAAAGGACACGAACTCATCCTTTTTTATGGCTGCATAGTATTCCATTGTGTAATGTGTCACATTTTCTTTATCCAGTCTATCTTTGATGGGCATTTGGGTTGGCTTCAAGTCTTTGCTATTGTAAATAGTGCTGCAATAAACATACATGTGCATGTGTCTTTATAGTAGAATGATTTATAATCCTTTGGATATGAACCCAGTAATGGGATTGCCAGGCCAAATGGTATTTCTGGTTCTAGATCCTTGAGGAATCACCACACTGTCTTCCACAATGGCTGAACTAATTTACACTTCTGCAAACAGTGTAAAAGCATTCTTATTACTTCACAGCCTTGCCAGCATCTGTTGTTTGTCAGAATGGCAATTATTATCAAGCATTCTTTTAGTCCTAGGATAAGTTTTATTTGCTATGATGTATTTTTGTTCATACATTGCTGAATTTGATCTGCTAGGGTTTTTGTCTTTTATTTGTTTATTTGCTTGCTTAGGATTTTCGTATTGATGTTTATAATTGATATTGGCCTATAATTTAATATACTGCATTGTATATTTGAGTAAGTTAGGAAGTCCCCTTACCCACTATGTTTTTTTCCTACTCTCTGCAATTATTTATATAAGAATAGAATCATCTGTTACTTGAATTTTTGTTAGAATTTATCTATAAAACCATCGAGACACAATGTCTATGAGTAGACAAAAGTATTACTGATTCAACATCTGTCATGGTTAT